CAGCCAACCGGGGGGGAACCAGCCCGGTCGACCGGCCGATAGGACCGGTCGGGTTCCGGTTGGGGGAGGACCCCCCAGTCCTACCGGGTTTTTAGCACTGGAGCACACTAGTTAGCCCCCAAAATCACGATTTTGACCTCACTGCCGAAAATCAATTTTTTTTTTCTTTCCTTGGATTTCGTTTTGTCGCTATTTCTGCTGTGGAAAATCGCAATAGCACAACATCTGAAATTTCCATTTTCGTTTTTCTTCTGAAAAGTCGAAATTTCATTGTTGAAAATCCGGAATATCTTTCTTTTCAAAAATTTTGATTTCCTGTTGTATTTCCCGTTACTTGGAAGTTCGGAATATTTTTCCGAAATTCGTTTTTTCAAAACGGTACAGAAAATCCTTCCTGCAGTTATCATTTTCCAAACTGCGCATCTGAGTAATTCCGAATATTTTGCTGTATTTTATTTTCGGGATTCTTTTATTCACAGTGTCAATCATTTGCAGTCTGAAGTTCGAAAAATTTTTTTCTCATTGGTGGTTTCGAATTTCAAGGGAGATTGGGAGATCTACTGAACTTGCAAAACTCGGGATTTCTATTTTCTCGACTTTTTTTTTTGCAAAGTTCAAACTTTTCTCTTTTGATTAGTGGCTCCTTATCTGGGCGATTTTTCCCACCCACCCTCCCCACCTATGTTGTTGCCCCTCTCGTTTTATCTTCTCTAGCTGTCTTCGGGTACTCCTGCAGCGGCATTGGTAAGTTGCCACGTCAGCTGACCATGTCAGCAGGCCACGTCAGCAGGCCACATCAGCATGCCATGTCAGCAGGACACGTCAGCAGGCCACATCAGCCGACAGCAGGCCACGTCAGCAGCAAGGAGTACCACGTCAGCAGGCTCCCGGCCTGGTCTATGCTGTTGCGTTCACAAACAGCCGTCATGGACCAGAGGTCAGGGGAAACGGACGAGGCCTATCAGGCCCGGATGCTGGCCTGGAGTACCGAAACCAAGAAACGGGCGGATGACGTAGCCTTGCTGCGAAGAAGAAGGCAGAGGACGCCGAGAAGGCACGTCTGCTGGCAATTGAACAGCAGCAGCAAAGGCTGCCGATGAAGAACGTGTTCAACGTCGTGAGAAGATATTCAGCGGAGAGCAGGCTTTGCTCACAATGGCAGCGGATTGGCGGGCTGAGGCCGAGAATGGCAAGATGGAAGATAACGAAAACAAGATCGCTCTACTCCTCTCCTATCTCACGGACCTCCTAGCAACATGCATTACACAGTAGGAGGACATCCACAGCCTCGACGACGCGATGACTGAAGTCCACGGCCGCCTCCGGCAGCTAGAGAAGCAATCTGTCGCCGCCCCGGATGCCAGCTCTCCCAACACCTCTGATCGCCTCGAGGCATTGGAGATGGACGTCGGCTCCCTCAAGGACGACGTGCAGTTACAGCAAACCGCAACGCAACAGTTGGAGCAGCGGATCTGTACTGCCGCCAACAACTCGAGTTCGGAACCGCGCGAGACAGCGCCAAAGTTCGACGGGAAGGAGATCTTCTGCGACTCGACGAAGACAGATCCGATTCCATGGTTCCGCAAGTTCGAGCTCACGTCGCAGCTACACTACGTCAAAGAACACAAGCACCAAGCGTACTTATACTCCCGGTCGGGGGGCGCGTGCCAGGCATGGTTGGACAATCTCTTGTCCAAGTACGGAGTGGTAGCTGCCGACTTGCCTACCAAGATCAACTGGGATGATCTGAAGGCGGCATGGCATAAACGGTTCCAAGTAAAGCCGCCGGAGATCAAGGCAATGGACAAGCTGATGGTCTTCGAACAAGGCACGCTGCCGAGTGTCGACTGGATTGCCGAGTACCAACGCTTGACATCCGTCCCAGACATCCAAATGGGCTTCAAAGCCATTCGCCACTATTTTATCTCAAGGTCGTGTCTGACATTGAGCAATGCCTTGACTCACGTCGAGGATACCTTGACGACAACGGCGGAACTCTTTGACAAGGCCGCACATATTATTATCACGAACAATGAGGCAAAGAACCTGTGTTGGTCTGCGGCAGGCCCGAGCAGAGATCAGCATCGACCGAAAGTTGACGTGGTCGAGGCGACAATGCCGTTTGACCAAACTAGCGAGGCCGTGTCTGCCAATGAAGGGGACAGACTCGCAGCTGCCCGAGAAGGTGGCCGCCCCGGCAAAGGCCGAGGACGCGGCAAGGCGAAGACAAACACCGCATCTAGCCTCGGGCCCGACGCAGCAACTCCAGCCCTATGGGCCCAATACGGTCTCTCCGAGCAAGCATTCAAAGCACGCACGAGATTTCACTATTGCCTATGGTGCACAACGATCTCCATGAGACAGTGGCCTGCCCATCGAAAGGCAAGGGCAAATCGGGAAACTGAGCACCACCGAGAGTGACTCGGCGACACTCTCGACGCCTTCTGAACCGGTCACTTCGCGGGTGACTGCCCTTCGTTCCGAGGCACATGCGGAAGTTAATAGTCCTCCTCTTATTTATTCTTTTGAGGACTATGCTGCCCGGCTCGTTCCTACGCTGGGTACTCAAGCTCAAGGACAAGACGTGTGTGCGGCATCTTCTCCATCCGACAGCGGCAACTTATCGTCTTCAAGTGGTTCTTCACAGGATTCGGCGCGCGAGTTCAACATAGAGGTATTGGACCCGCTCACGTCCGAGGACTTTGCATGGCTTCCTCTTCCGACCACGGGCCGCTTGCCGGGACCGCAATGCGCAGCACTATGCGCTCATCTCCACACGTACTTATCCTTCTATGCACCACCAACTTTGCCGACGGATGACGAAGTCGCGGTGGGGGACATCCTTGCGTATGTTACCAAGGTGGCCCGCGATTTTCGCAATCAGCGGTACGACGACAACAACGCACCGCTCCTCTACGTCCGCATCCAAGTTGGGCAATTGTCCTGCAACGCTTTGCTGGATAGCTGCGCGTCTCGCAATTTTATGAGCCAAGCCTTTATGCAAAGGGCTGGCCTTGGTGCACAAGTTCGAAGGTAGGCAAACCCGACGGCGATCAAGTTGGCAGACGAAAAGACGCAGCAACTTATCGACCGCTACATCGAGGCCGTACCGGTGTATTTCGCACCTCATGCATGCGAATCGGTGACGTTCGACATTTTGGACACGGACTTCGACATCATTATGGGAATGCCTTGGCTCAAATGCGGATCACACGGTCGACTTCCACCGGCGGACGCTTACCGTTCGCGACGCCTTCGACGCCGAAGTGTCATGTACTATGCCTCTTCCGCACCCTTCGATTCGGTGCTAAGAGGTGACGGCCAAATTATTCTGGGCGACTTGCGCTTACGATCAGCCCGAGGAAATCGGCCTACGTTTCCTACGGACCGTCGCGGTAGCCGACTCTCCACCCACGGACTTGTCTTCGAACCCCCGGGTGGTGCGGTTGCTTTATGAGTTCGCCGACATCTTCGAGTCACATACCGGTGTGGTGCCGGATCAGCCGATCTCTCACGAAATCATTCTTAAGGCCGGTGCCGTGCCGCTGAAAGGTTGCATCTATCGGATGAGCGAAGAGGAGCTTGAGGTCCTCCGCACACAACTCGACGACTTGTTGGCCAAGGGATGGATTCACCCTAGTAACTCCCCATATGGAGCACCAGTTCTCTTCGTCCGGAAGAAGAACAAAGATCTACGATTGTGTACCGACTACCGCAAGCTCAACGCGCAAACCGTCAAGAATGCGGGGCCTCTTCCTCGCATCGAAGATCTTCTTGAGCGATTGGGCGGCGCGAAGTATTTTTCCAAGTTGGATTTGAAGTCGGGATATCATCAAATCTCGATCCGGCCGAACGATCGCTACAAATCCACGTTCAAGACGCGGTACGGGCATTTTGAGTGGGTGGTCATGCCTTTTGGCCTCACCAACGCCCCGACGACCTTTCAAGCGGCGATGACCAACGAGTTCCGTGCAGTGTTGGACCGGTTCGTGCTGGTCTACTTAGACGATATTCTCGTCTATAGACGGTCATTGGGGGATCATCTTGAGCACCTTCGACGAGTGTTGGAGACGCTCCGCCGCGCCAAGTACAAGGCTTACCGCGACAAGTGCGAATTTGTCCGGCAAGAGCTGAAATACTTGGGCCATTTTGTCACACCGGAGGGCATCAGTTTGCTATCGGACAAGATTCAAGCCATCCAAGAGTGGCCGGAGCCACGGAACGTCACGGATGTCTGCTCGTTCCTTGGCCTCGCCGGCTACTACCAGCGTTTTATCAAGGGCTACTCGAAGATCGCGGCCCACTTGACCAAGCTTCAATGCGAGGATGGACCGTTTGACTTCGGAGAGAAAGCGCGGGAATCATTTTTGACTCTCAAAGCCGCACTATTATCTGCGGAGGTCTTGCACATATACGACCCGCTTTTGCCTACGCGCGTTACTACGAATGCGTCCGGCTATGGCATTGGTGCCGTCCTCGAGCAACACGATGGCGTGGACTGGCACCCGGTCGAGTATTTCAGCAAGAAAGTGTCCGTCGTGCACTCCATTGACGATGCACGCAAGAAGGAGCTCCTCGCCTTCGTCCACGTGCTCAAGCAGTGGCGGCACTTCCTCCTTGGTCGAAGCCAATTCCGATGGGTAACAGACAATAATCCGTTGGTCTTTTACAAGACCCAAGACACCGTCAACAGCACCATTGCTCGATGGATGACTTTCATCGACCAGTTCGACTTCTTTCCCAATCACATTCCGGGGAAGTCGAACCGTTTTGCGGATGCTCTTTCACGGCGTCCGGATCACTGTACCGCGGTCTACTCAACCTTCGAGATCGACCACGACCTACGGGACAGCTTCATTCGCGGCTACCAAGCCGACCCCGAGTTTTCCGACAAGTACGCGAATTGCTCCTCTCCGGATTACGCGAATTGCTCCTCTCCTAATCCGGCGCCTTCTCACTACTGGATCCAAGAGGGGTACTTGCTTGTGCACACCCGGGGGAAGGACCTTCTTTGTGTATCGACTGGTCCTCACTTGCGTACACGGCTTCTTGACGAGTTCCATGATGCTCCCGCCACCGGACACTTTGGAGTCGATCGCACGATTGGCAGACTTCGCGAGTGATTATGGTGGCCCGGCCTTCTCGGCGACGTCACACGCTATTGCGAGTCATGCGAGGTTTGCCGACGCTGCAAATCCCGCAACCATCGTCCGTACGGCGAGTTACGACCATTACCGGTCCCTTTGAGGCGAAGGGAAGCGATTGCCATGGACATTACCAACCCGTTCCCCAAGCACAAGGGAAATCGTTTGCGACCGCGACACTCGGTTCATGTCCGATTTTTGGTTGGCGGTCATCACGCGATGGGGCTCATCTCTCAAGCCCAGTTCAGCTCGCCACCTCCAGACCGATGGCCAAACGGAGAGGGCGCACCATACCGCACAGGTTCTCCTTCGCACTCTCATCCGTCCTGACCAGAAGGATTGGGTTGAGCGACTACCGGATGTCGAGTTGGCCTACAACTCCTTCATCCACCCGGCTATTGGGATGTCGCCTTTCGAATTCGATCACGACTCGCCGGTCACTTCGCCGTTGGACACAATCATTCCACGAACGACCGACAACGACGACCATCTTATTTTCTTGTGTCGGATGCAAGGGCTACTTGTCAAGGCACGTGACCAATGGCCAAGACGCAGCAGCGCATGAGCCAACAGGCCAATCGCCAGCGTATTCCTTGCCCATTCCGCGCCGGCGATCTGGTTTGGGTCTCCGCCGCGGAGTTCAGCCTTGAACAAGACATCTCTCGCAAGCTCCTTCCGAAATGGATGGGGCCCTGGCCGATCGTGGCACCCGCTGGGGATGCACCCGAGGGACCTTCTTTCACTATTCAGGTGCCCGCCCACTTGCCCGTCTACCCAGTCTTTCATTGCTCCAAGTTGGCTCTCTACACGCCAGCGGATCATGACGATTTTCCCGGGCGACGTTCGCAAGACCCACCCTCTATGGACGGTTTTCAAGAGGTCGGCGACATCATCTTCCAACGACGCTACGGCAACAGGCCAAGTACTTGGTACATTTTGCATACTGCACACACCGAGCTGACCGTTGGTTGACCCGTGCGGAACTTCAAGCAACAGCTCCAGACGTTCTCGCACGCTACGAATGCAAGATGCAAGGCAAGCCGGTCTCTTCGGCTCCACGTCGCACCCGCGACCAGGTTCCACCTTCATATCGTCAGCTTGGCCCTCGACCCGGCTTGACTTCATAAGCAGGGGGGGGTGTTACATGCTGCGCCTGCAACAGGCTGCACGGGCCATTTTCAGGCCCATGTCATTTTCAGCCTGAAAGCCTGAAAACGAGGGCCTACAGACCCCGTGTTGTTTTCAGGCCAAAAGCCTGAAAACAAGGGCCTACAGGCCCCGT